TCAATGTAAAGAGGCCGTCTTCGAAAGAGAGCATCCAGACTCGCTGGGTGCTCTCTTTCGAAAAAGCGGATTTTTCTTTCGAAAGATCCACCTGCAGTCTAGACGCGACATCAGAGTTACAAACTGACCACACACCTCCCTGGGGACTGGAAGGAGCCGCCCCCCCCCCAAAAAAAGTGCCGTGTTACATGTAAACTACTAAGAAAGGGCTGATTTAACAAACAAAAAGACGGTAAAGCAGCCGTTTCTGTGCTTGTGCTGTGTAAAACAAGATGGTTAAAAACCAACATTTTTCTTCTGCGTCATAAAGTTTTAAAATTATATTAAGTCACTGTTCAGTTGTAAACTTTTGAAACTTTTCAGAGGTATGAATAAATTCCATTTGGAGGTCTTCTACTGTACATACACAATGGGGGGGGTTCTATTTTACATACACAATGGGGTGTCTTCTACTGTACATTCACAAGGGGGGTGGGTTCTACTGTACATACATAATGGGGGTTTCTATTGCACATACACAATGGGGGATTGTACTGTACACACACAATGGGGGGCTGGGTTCTTGAGGTGCTGTGGGAGTCAGTGGGAAGAGCAGGTTCTTTAGGGGATCGGGCTCTAGAAGAGGAAGTCTGATATCCAGGGTTGCTTTCCTGGAGACCTAGTAACTTCAGAAAGGCAGAAATACAGAGCGAGGACTGGCCAGGAGGGCGGGACGGGGGCTTCTAGCTTTAGGACCAACTCGGGTCCTGATGCTGGACTGTTTCCCTGGCACGGATCAGCGTTCATGTCGCAGTCCCTGTCGGTAGCTGGACTGAAGAGGCCCTAGCACACTTCACAGCATGGGGCACATGCCTCCCATGAATCTATGAGTTTTGCCAGAGACTAACACTTTTAATCACCCCGACAGGCAGGAAGTTTTTCCTAATGTCCAACCTAAACCTCCCCTGCTCTCATGTCCCCTCTCAGTCTTCTCTTTTCTAAACTAAATAAGCTCAGTTTTTTCAGTCGTCCCTCATGGCTCATGTTCTCTAGACCTTGCATCATTCTTGTTGCTCTTCTCTGGACCCTCTCCAATTTCGCCACATCATTCCTGAAATGTAATGCCCAGAACTGGCCGCAATACTCCAAATTGGGGCCTAATCAGCAGAATGACATCTCGTGTCTTGCTCACAACACTCCTGTGAATGCCTCCCAGAATCACGTTTGTTTGACTCCTATTTAGCCTGTGGTCCACTATGACCCCTAGATCCCTTTGCGCCGTGCTTCTTGCTAGTTTTGTATGTGTGAAACTGATTGCTCCTTCCTACATGGAGCATTTTGCATTTGTCCTTGTTGAGTTTCATCCTACTTACTTCAGACCACTTCTCCAGTTTATCCGGAACATTTGGAATGATGACCCTACCCTCCAAAGAAATTGCAACCCCACCCAGCTTGGTATCACCTGCACACTTTATCAGCATACTCTCTGTGCCATTATCTAAACAATCAATGAAGATATTGAATAGATCTGGTCCCAAAACCAATCCCTGCAGAGCTCCGTTCTTTCTGTCCTTCTAGATTATCTGGGAACCACTGACAACTACTCTCTGTGAATGGTTATAAGAGCAAAGATAACAATACAGAGCTGTGGATTTGGCTCAAGTGTAGGGGAAAAAAAAACGCTTTTTTTTTTTTTAAACAAAAGTTGAAAGTTTCAGTGGAAAAAAATTTTTTTTCGGCCATGCCACAGTGGACCATCAAAATGAGAGAGGCTTGAGCTTGTGTAACCCACACACCTACGCTATGTCTACACTCGCGGCTTCTTGAGCGAGTAATATGCAAATGAGGCTAAGCATGGAATATCACCAAGCCTCATTTGCATACCTAATGAGCCACCATTTTTTTCAGAAGAGGCTCTTGCGCAAGAAGGAGCGTTTTTCTGAAAAAAATGGTGGCTCATTAGGTATGCAAATGAGGCTTGGTGATATTCCATGCTTAGCCTCATTTGCATATTACTCGTGCAAGAAGCCGCGAGTGTAGACATAGCGTAGGTGTGTGGGTTACACAAGCTCAAGCCTCTCTCATTTTGATGGTCCACTGTGGCATGGCCGAAAAAAAATTTTTTTCCACTGAAACTTTCAACTTTTGTTTAAAAAAAAAAAAAGCGTTTTTTTTTCCCCCTGAGAGCCTGATGGTTACAGCCTGTGGCTGAAAGGATTGGGGGTTTTCAATTTTTTGACCAAAAATCGCGTGTTTTGAAGAAAGTAAAAACTTTCCACCACGAAAATAAGGAGTCAATTCCCATTTTTTCTCTGAAACCAGTTTTGGTGGAAATTTTTCACCTGTCCTCATTATGACGCCCAGAATTATTCTGGGATTTGTGGCTAATCCTATGATTAACCCCATGACCATCTGGACAGGCTGCCGGAAGTTCACAACCTGTCGTCCAAAAGTCCCCACCACATTGCCCTGGTGATGCTGCCTTTCCCAAAGCCTCGTGCCCCAATCGCACGAGAGCTCCATGAGACCTGCTCCCCACGAGAGCGCCGTGTCTCACAAGTGTGTCGGGACCACGAGTGCTGAGGTCACAAGAGAACTCGGGACCACGAGTGCTGAGGTCACAAGAGAACTCGGGACCATGAGTGCTGAGGTCACAAGAGAACTGCTTAATCAACAGGCCGTGTGGAACGCAGGCAGAGACGAGGCAAGCTTCACACACGTACCATGCCACTTACAATGTGCTTCAAATCTGTCCTGGAGGGACTTCCTCTAGGAGTGAGAGAACAGTTCAAAGTCCGTGGCCAGGGCAATCCTTTGTGTGTTCAGTGATGCTGCCAGGAAGGAAGACAATTATTGCCAATCATGGCGCGGGGTTTGGGGCTGTGGCAGCCACCTGTCCTCTGGGATATCCAACAAACCAGACAAGGGGAGGCCCCCCAGGAAGATGAGTCATGTGCCCTATCAGCTGTGGAACAAGTGGCCGCACCAAACTCCTCTGCACGGAGAGAGGAGGAGGCGTCGTCTCTGACGCACGCGGCCACGGCGCCTCGTGACCTTCGCCGCAAAGAGCTCGTGACTCACAAATAGCCACAGGAGCAGAAGGGAACGGTGTCCATTCAGGGCAGTGCCTGTCCTCCTGCCAGCGCAGTTAATCGTAAAAACGGCGGCGTTCATCTCATGGCCTGGTGACGTGAACATCCATCGGAAATGGAGTCAGCGGTTTCCGGAGTTCCATTTTTGGATGGATTCGGATGCTTCGCCGCAAAGAGCTCGTGACTCACAAATAGCCACAGGAGCAGAAGGGAACGGTGTCCATTCAGGGCAGTGCCTGTCCTCCTGCCAGCGCAGTTAATCGTAAAAACGGCGGCGTTCATCTCATGGCCTGGTGACGTGAACATCCATCGGAAATGGAGTCAGCGGTTTCCGGAGTTCCATTTTTGGATGGATTCGGATGCTTTCGCCTTTGATGGGGGACATGGGGAAAATCTTGGAAGTGTAGAATCATAGAACCTTAGCACGGGAAGGCAACCCGCGAGGGCATTGAATCCAGTCCCCAGCCCTCATGGCAGGAACAAGCCTTGTCTAGACCACGGCTACCCAACACATGGCCCACGGACCACGGGGAAAATCTTGGAAGTGTAGAATCATAGAACCTTAGCACGGGAAGGCAACCCGCGAGGGCATTGAATCCAGTCCCCAGCCCTCATGGCAGGAACAAGCCTTGTCTAGACCACGGCTACCCAACACATGGCCCACGGACCACCCGTTTGTTTGCAGCCTGCGGTGAGGTTTGGGTTTACACAGGGCTCAACACGCAGGCTGCGGGTGGGAGCCAAAATAAAAGAGTAGTCAATAGAACGGTCTTCTGTTAAGATGCATTTAAGTAGTTCAATTCCTGGACTGTCATTGCTCATTCAAAGTGCTGTCACATTGGTAGAAATGGGATCACTGTTGCATTTTATTAATAGCAGCAGAACTGACGGAAACGGGGCCTGTGTGTTGCGTAGCCTTGTCTTAATCTTTCTATTTATGCCAGTCGGTGTGAAAGAAGCTATTTCCGTATATTTGCGTATATATTTGCATGTCTATGCAACCACGCTTAAGTTGTGGCCCTCGGCATGTGCTGGGAGTATTATTGTGGCCCCCAGAGCTTCCAAAATTGAGTAGCCCCGGTCCAGCTCATCCCTGAAAGCTCTGTCCAACCTGCTCTTCAATATCTCCAGAGATGGAGATTCCACAACCTCCCTGGGCAATTTATTCCAGTGTTTAACCACCCTGATAGGCAGGAAGTTTTTCCTAATGTCCAACCTAAACCTCCTTTGCTGCAGTTTAAGCCCCTTAATTCTTGTCCTATTCTCCGAGGCCAAGGAGAGCAATTTTTCTCCCTCTTCCTTGTGACATCCATTTAGGCACTTGTTCAGGGTCTTCAGCCAGCGGGTTGAAAGATTCAGCAAACAACGTCGGTCGACGGAATTCTGAAATGTTGACCTTTTTTTATTATTTCAATGCCAACGGCGATGCTTTGCAATGTCTGCCACAGCTGATACGGTTTTTGCAGCCAGCTCGGATCATAAAGATTATTTTCAGATAACGGGGGCAGCGGTGGGAACTGCAAACAGCCCTGCAGTGGGATACAGGACACACCGATTTCTTCCAGTCCGAATACAGTCGAAACCAAAGGCTGATCCTGATCTCCCGCTCATAAGCTGTGACGGCGCATTGGGGTTTTCCTGTCTCCTGCACCCCCGTAATGGCACGGACAGACTCCACCAGCCAGTAGAATAGAGGGAGTTTATTGTTCCTCCAGGATACAGTGCAGCACAGATATAATCTGGTTACAGGGCAGGGCTAGGATGCCTCAGCCTCCCTTGAGATGGGGGAGCCTGGGCCCCTAAATCTCAGCCTCTTCCCTAGGCTGCTTCCTCCATGGTACCAGCCAGAAACTTCCCTAACTCACTTCCAGCCCTGCCCCCAGCCAGGGCTCCACTCCCCTTCTTCCCATTGTTCTGCTCCCTGGGAGATCACTGGTCAGACAGGTTCGAAGCCCCCTTGCATAATGACTCATCCCCTGTCCTGGTGGGCCGTGCTAATTGTCAAATCTGATGGAAACCATCTGACTGGCAGCAAAGCCAAGGACAGAATGAGTCTACTTCTGATCTCTCTCCAGGTTGGGGCTGCTGTGACGCCACGGACTTTGGAGGAATTGCTCCCAGTTTACACGAGTGCCAATGCAGCCAGCTCCGAGTGACCCCGTTTCCAACCGGACTTCTCCGCGGAAGCGGCGTGGTGAGGAGCACGGCAGAGACACATTGGCCTTGGCGTGGTAGAGTCCCTGCCTTAGAAACTCCCGTGGTTCCTTGCCTGGATCTTCTCAGCTAGGAGAACCCAAACCCCTGATCTGTGCCCTTCAGAACTTGGTGGTATTCCAAAAGTAACCCCCAAGGGGAGCCTGGTGCTACGAGCCCAGCCATAGAGATCATCCACCTACCCCTACCCTCGTGGAGGCCAGACGGACTAGATAAGGAGATCGATTAGGGTTAGGGTTAAGGAGATCGATTTTGCACCACTGAGACCCATTGAATGTGAGCACCTTGCATGACTAGTGACCTCTCCATCCCCCTCCCGCTCTAAGGCTTGGCACTGACTTGGGCCCCTTGTTTGTAATGAAGCTCGCGGGCCGTGGGGCCCCTGAACCGCGGTGAGGATCTGGGCCTACGTGCTTGTGGTTTTCCCCTGTGTGTGCACGGCACCGAGCCCAAGGGGGCTGCCAACCGGAGGCTGAAACTCTCTTAACCGGGATTCTCTGGTCCGGCAACATGCACGGTCCGGCACGGATGTTGCAGGACCTGAGCGTCCCGGTGGAGGGCCGGCAGCAAGGATCCCTGCGGGGCCGAGAGGGCAGTGGGCAGACCTGGCATGTGGCTGCCCAGTGAGGATGGGAGACCTGGCGTGCATGCAGCTGCCCACAGAGCCCTGGTGCACACGGCTGCCCGGAGCCCCAGTGCAGGGCTGCCTGGCACAGCCATGGGCAAGGCCATGGGGCCAGCAGGAGGTGGGGAGCCAGCGGGGAGGCCAGCGGCCAGGCCAGGGGTCCAAAAATGACCTCCCCTGGTGCGGCAAAATCCCTCATCCGGGACCAGTCAGCTCCTGAGGGCGCTGGACCAAGGAGGTCCAACCTGTACTGCTGTAGGAACCCACATTTGTGAGGACGGACAGAGGGACGGCCGGACAGACAGAGGACTGGAGGCGGTTTAGCTCTGCCCCCCCTGTTCTGTCTCTCTCCCCTGGTCCATGGGGCTGGGATGCTCCAACCACTACAGGGCCCCCAGCTCTCCTCTCCCCCGGGGCGCGAAGGGGGAGGTTTCCAATGGGAAGCCGAGGGGAACGGGGCCTTTGAGACCCTCCCGTCCTGCCCCCTTGGCGTCAGCACCCAGCCTGCACGGGGGTTTCCGGCAGG